CACACTCACACACACACACACACACACACACACACACACACACACACACACACCAGGAGAGGTGGAGGAAATCGATTTGAGGGAAGGATAAAACCCTCTGCATCCCTGGGGGGGGGATTCACACATCGCATGGCCTTTTGATGTCTCAATCAGCACACTGCAGAGAGGAAACTGACAGGGGGTGGGAGACTGGGGGAAAATCAGTAAGAGTTTAAAAAAAGAACAGAGAGAAAGAGAGCAGCGGTGAAGTGAGGGGTGAGTTGGCACTGGTGTGTTCGCCTCAGACCAGCACAACAGACTGGCTGGGTCTGTTGCATAACAACTTATGTAACAGCTTCTGCTCTCCACAGGGGGAGAGCAAACTTTCTTTTGGAGCTGAATCTGGGTTTCATGTGTCTGAAGGGAGCCAATCATTACAAAAAACAAGAAATTATGCAGGAGCGCTGTTCCCAGATAAACAAGATGAAGGCAAAATAGCCCAGCATCCACTTCCCTCCTCTTTTCCAAGGCTCTTCTCTCTCTCTAGTGTTTTAGTGTATCCTCAGCTTAACCTCATCTCTCGTGTCTCGTCTTGCTGTCTTGCTTTAATCTGGCTCTCGCTCTCTGTCTAGTCTCTAACCTCATTCCTTCACTGGTCTCTTTCATCTCCCACCATATTGATCCCCCTCCTTATGTCTGTGGGCTTTAATCTGTTCTCAAGGATGAGTATGCATGCATGAGCATTTTGTGTGCATACAGAGATATTATGAGTGTGCTGAATCTAAGAGCTGAACTTGCAAGTACGGCAGATACTTAAGCGAGCATAACAAGCAATACTGGACAGGAGGAAGCCTTTACATGTATTGACTGTTTGACCAACTTTCAGAAACCTAAAGACAAGCAGTAGTATTTACATTTCTCATCCTAAGGGAGGGAGTATGTAGCAATTTTGGTGAAAAGAAACCCTCAAATGACAAATTGCGTATTGGAATATAGTTGATGGTTATTGTGTGAGGAAAGGCTAATCATGCCCTCATAGTATATGATATCTCTATTATTCTGTACATTAACTGTTCATTTGAAAACTGACAAATTGACGTACAATACTACTCACTTACAAATGTCAACTTGCTGATTGAAGTTAGTTGACCTTTGAGTTGATTTTGACAGACAAACACAAATGGAGTAGCTATTAATGGCTGAAAAAAAATATATTGTGCACTGCGTTGGCTCTGATGACAAAACAAAAGGTTCACCAAGGGATTTTTGGAACAACTTTTTTAGAGGCATTGTATAAAAGATTCAGGATTTGTTCATTACTTCAATACTTTCTGTGCTATATAGTGAGTGGAAATGGGACATTTTGAGGCGGTGCAACATCTAAGGGTTTTGATAGCAAAGCACAACACCTTCAAAATTGGCTCAGAGAACCATTGCTCCATCTCGTGTTTACAACCCGGCATCCAAGTGACTCCATCACCGAGCCACAAACAGACAGAAGCTCTGATGGCTGGGATATGTCTGTTGCTCTCTTTAAAAGCAACCAAAAGCACAAAGCTGGGACACAATCTTTCAAATGGAGATCGGGTTAAGAGAGATTAGAGAGTGAGTGAGCCAGGACGTGCATGAGTCAGACAGAGTGTGTGATGAAGTTGTGGGGTGACTAAGTTCTCCACTGTCTGCCAGGGATGGAAACGCCTGCCATCGATTTGAATTTGGCAGCAGGGCCTCCGACTACAGACAGCCCTTCAATCTGCCACAGTCACTGGTAAACACACAAGCTAACAGACTGACTGAATCATAGAGACAGAAAGACGACTCATCTGAAACAACACGTGCCGAGTTACCTGTTTTTCACACACAAAATCAACATGTGTGGAAAGGAAAGCTCTATAAACATCAATGTCATTTACTGCAAACACACTGAACTGTATATTCACACACACACACACACACACACACACACACACACACACACACACACACACACACACACACACACACACTACGACTACACACGTACACACACTACACGACACACACACACACACACACACACACACACACACACACACACACACACACACACACACACACACACACACACACACACACACACACACACACACACCTCCCTACTGTGAGAACAGAGCGTCAGGAGACAGAAGAGGGAAAGGAAATTAAAGGCAGTGAAAGGGAGGGAGGAAAGATATTAGATTTTCACCATGACGTCCCACTCTGTTGTTTATTTTTTGCACCGAATACAACAGCCGTTTCCATTATTAAACCAATTATGAAATCGTCTTGTGAGTTTTTGTTCCGATAGTGGTGCATGCATAAACATGGCTTTTGCATGATGAGGAGGTGGAGATGGAGGAAGGTGAGCGACTAACCTCTCACGGGTATCCCCTTCTTCCTCCTGGCTCAGGGAGAAAACAAGGAAAGGAAGACAAGAAAGGCAGAAAGAGGGAAACAAATCAGCTTTGTGTCGCTAATAGAGAAAAAGAAAGGGGGGGGGTAATGCTTCATTTAAGGACTAATGTAACTACATTTAGGGTCAGAAATTGATTTGATTATGCACATCTTAAAACAGTGATGGCCATTTTGTATATGTTTTTTATTTATTAAGCATGTAAACTAGTTCACTTCATAATAGTTATCTCTCCACTTTTACTGACTTTAAAGTTGCCAGTTTGACCTTTCTCTAAGTTGTATCCCTTAAGAAAGGATTCATTCTCCTATTTTTGTTCTACTTTTCAGGAAATATAGCAGGATTGTATCTATGATGGGAGTTTGTAGAGAAAATTGAAAATATTGCATGTAAGAAATGGTGGTGTTAGTGTACTGTACCATGGCTATGAGGAAACGAATTGTTGAGCTGCTCCATGACTTCCTCCAGACCAGATGCATCCTGGGAAGGGCTGGACAGTTCGTCATCACCTGAAACAGGAAGACCATTTTTAGAACTACAGGCGGCTGAAACTAATGCTGAGTCATGGTCTCACACACACTAAAACAGTTCATTGTAAGTTTAAGATGTGTGTGTTCTCACCCATGGTGTCATTAGTCTGGCTGGCGGCCACACGCAGCAGGGGGAGGGACGAGTCGGAGCGCTGCGAGGAGGTGGAGGGGGAAGAGAGGGCGGTACCGTTCACCTTGGAGTCCGTCTGAGACACACACACACACACACACACACACACACACACACACACACACACACACACACACACACACACACACACACACACACACACACACACACACACACACACACATTAAATACAAACTGGCATCCAAGCCACAGCTTAATTACAGGAGTCAAAATTGATGAAATAAACTATAAAAGAAAATGATAGCTTTATTGCATTACTGGTCAGGTTATGACATCATTGGATTTTATTACATTTTCTGGCATTTTAAAGACATTATCACATAATTGGGTACTTCAGTTTGTGAGTTCCTGTGTCTGTACCGGCTCCATGTTGTGTTCCTGTGTATGAACCTGCTCCAGTTTTGTGTGTGTGTGTGTGTGTGTGTGTGTGTGTGTGTGTGTGTGTGTGTGTGTGTGTGTGTGTGTGTGTGTGTGTACCTGCTCCAGCAGCTGCCTGAGGCGGTGTAGTTGTGACTCCAGCTGTTTGTTGTGATCCTCCAGGATCTGCATGCGGGCCTCCAGGCGTCCTTTGTGCTGACGCAGCAGTTTGGCCTCTGCGATGAGCTCGGCGTCGCGGACGCTCTGCGGCGACGCCGGCATCATCTCCGGGGGCGACGGCAGCGGGGACAGGCCCTTCCTGTCGTGGGCCTTCTTCAGACGGTCGTACTCCGACTGCAGCTTCCTGTGGAGAGGACAGCAGGAGGATCAGTCACATGTGAAGTAATAAACACACAGCTATGGGGAAAGGTCACTCTGTCCTGTCACTCACATGTTCTCCTGCTCCAGGTCATTGAGTACCCTCTCCAGCTCCCCCTTCTCCTCCGTCTCCATGGAGATGAGGATCTGGGCGGGGCTGCGGGGCTGGCTGAGGGGAGAGCCTTGGTTCAGGGATTGGCAGTAGTGCTGGATCAACATGTGCTCGTCATCGCTGCACACACAGACAGAGAGAAAATGATTTAATTGAAAGAGAACAGAAAAAAACACCACAGAAGAAGAATCTATGAAACAGAGGGGATCTTACAACACATTTCTCCGGACATTAGATAGAAATTGGGAACACTTTAGGAAGTGTTTGTGTGGTTGTGTGTATTGAGATGCTGCTGCGTTCACTGCCCTGCTTTCAGCTCGTTCATTGTGAACACTGTAGGAGCTGCAGATGTGTGGCGTTTGAAGATTACTGCTCACATGAAAGTAAAACTCATTAAGGGAGCAGTGTTAAGCTCTCAGTCTCTAGATGCTCCCTACTCATCTTTTTCTCTTCATCATTCCACTTGTAAGTTATGTGGATATATTTATATTTTTACTACTTTAATTACAGGGTTACGTTTTCATGTCAGACTCCTAGCACTTATTGTACAAACTTTGATCTTTTTTGCCCCTGATGGGACATTTACTTGCAGCTAGACTAAATATAGAACGCACAGACTCAGGATATACAATATATAACATAGTTCATGGACAGGGACAGGGAGGGAATAATCTATTCAAATAAGAATCAAGAATTGTATCTTCTAAGACTATCAATAGATTGATCAAATTCCCCTAAATCAAAATATGTGATGATAGAAACACAATAAAAACCACAACATGGGGTTGTATCCAGAACATTGAGCATTATGTAACATTCATCACAATGAGCCAATGTAAACAAAGAAGGCGGAGCCAGTTGACACACAGCCAATCAGTGAGTGAGGTCAAAGCAATCAGAAAGCGGTTCTCACATGCTCTCATTGGGTGAGATACTGTCATTCAGATAAGAGCCATTACGATTCTCCATTTCTGCTAACCTGCGGAGGGGGGGGGAGAAACAGAGCAGTCAGTACCAGAACCACACGCAGCACGTTCTGAGGGCAGCGGACCCCTCAGAGCAGAGTTAGGATTTCCTTTGCTCCGGCATATGCTGTAATCATTTCGCCCTGTGTGCATCCTTCTGTGAGCGTCACTCTGTTGCATTTTATTTGATAGCGTTTACAACTGATGCACGATAAACTCAAGTTACACCTTTTTTTTACAAGTTGGCTTATATTGCCTTAAAGGACCCTTGTGAAAGAGGCAACTGGCAGACAACTAACACGTAAAACTGCTGTTTGTTTTGACTTAATTGTCCGACAGCCTTTAAAACATTGATTTACAGCAGTCTCATTAGTCACAAACACTGCAATAGTACTGTATGTCATGTGGGAATCGAAAATACTTTGACATTTGGGTTTTTAATTTGTCTATATTTTGAGATATGTCTCTGAATGGTATGTTTTTTATTTTTCCATTTATCTCCACTTTTTTGTATAGGGGCAAGGGGGGTGGATAGCTATATGGGTGGCACTAGAAATAAGTAAAAAACATGTGTTACGTAATATTGTTGAATCACAAAAAGGATAACTAAAGACAAGCCCTTCAATCATGATGAAGCAAAAAGCCAGAGATTGAAATGGCCGTGTCGCTATCTCCACTAGATCAGTTGCCGGTGTTTGGAGTGTGTGCCCAGAGCGTAAAGAGATTTCGGGGCTTTATCAGCTTGGATAAAAAAAAGAAGCTTGGTGCTTGGCACTGAGTGTTTAGGCAGATGGAGTGTGACAGGCCGGTGTGTGTTTGTGCTCATAATCTGCTGCGCTACAGAAACAAGATAACCTCGTGGTTCGGAGGATCACTCCAGGCTTAATGATGTTACTTCTCCGCCCTACCACCTCCCTTTAATCGTGCTATCTGGAATCCAACAGATCTATGCGCGACAGGGGGAGCGTGGCTCAGCGTGTGTTTGTGTCAGTGTAGTTATACGTGTATGTGTGTGTTATCCCAAAGGCAACAGTGACTCGTGTCAAACGCTCTCTGGCAGGGGTCAGAGGTTCAGCCTCACACTGACTCTACTGAGGAATGCACGGAGGGAAAGTAAAAGTACCAATACAAATACAGGGGGGGGCACTTCCAGTGGTGCAAAGTAACTGACTGATTCAATAAGGGATTGATTGCCTGCTTGATTGACTCACTAGGGTTGATGTTGCTTCTAGTTCCTCAGTGGTGCATTCTGGGAGCAGTAAGCGTCCCTGCACAACACTGAGATGTTTTGCATTGAAGGATGCCTCTCCTCTGAGTTCATCATTAATGACGTTTTAAAGCACATGCTGGTGAACTGGATGGCACAGGCAACATCTCAGGAGCATTAGCATAAGCTATTATGGATAATTCACCATAAAGCCAATGCATCACTTTATCATGTTAACAGACTCTAATATATGCAAAGGGATATCTTGACATTTTTCTGAGCAAATTTGTCATTATTACCCGGCTGGTCAAATAATTGTAGCACATTTAAAAGCATTATTTAAGTAGTTTTCTTTTATGCGAAATCCCCTGCCGTGATTTCGCTTTTAAAAGGGATAGTTTGAAGTGGGGTTTTATAAAGTACTTCTCCTACAGTAGATAGCGTTCGGCACTCCCCAAGTTTGGAGAAACAGACAGGAGCACCTGCAGGAAGCTAAGAAAAATCAATATCATCTTAAGTGCACGCTATATTTAGAATATTTTCACTGCTTTACCTTGCTGTCAGACAGCCTTTTTCAAGGGGGAGCTGAACCCTTTATGTTCTCTTCAAAGCCGACAGACTCCTTTGACAAAAAAAACATGATTTTACCCTGCAGGACACAGGATTGCTGGTCTGGCAGGATTAAAAAGTGCTCAGCTCAACAGAATGGTAAAGCAGTAAAACTGATATTGTTGAGGTGGGCGGTCCTCAGCAGTACATAGCTTAGCATCCTGAGGCTACTCCTGTCTGCTTTGATAAACCCTCATCGACTGTAGGTAAATCACTGACTATGACACTTCATACGACCTTACTAGATAGAGACGTCACATACAGTGCCTGCTGACACCACATTATAATATAGTTTATCAAGGTATCCCAAAAAGATTCAACAATCATGCGTAAACTACTTTCAAACCACACTAACATATACAGCCATTCATATGTTGAATATTCATCTAGAATGAGTTGTTCTAGCTCTTAAAAAGGTACTCGAATGCACCACTGATTTTAAAGTGTATCAGTTGCTGTTCTTATTTCTTACATTCTCTCTGTGGGGTATATTATCTCTACTAAATTCCTGGGACAGTAACGTATAGACCTTAATGTAGATGGAAGACACACAAATGGGAGTTTAGTTTCCTGTTAACCCATCAGTGAAATATATTACACGACACAATCGGCTTATATATTAAACAACATAGAGTACCATTGGACTGGCTGCATATGACAGGTGACAGTTGGTTCACATCTGTAATGTTAAGATGACTTATATAGACTCACTGTGTTGCAAACAATTGCTTTAAGTCTCTCAAACATGCCTGAGTAGGTCAATGAGAGTTATGTGACTTTACACAGCGCTCATATGTGATTAAAAGAATTAAAAAAGCTCTTTAATAATCAGCTTTTCCATCTATTAAGTGTAATAAAAAGGAAATGCTGAACCAGAGTTCCCCTGAAACACGTCAGCAAGAAATGAGGGCAGCCGATCCCCTGTGAGTTAACGGCTGCATGAACACAGCTTTTGTATTCTCCATCACATCAATCCAAATGCTTCTGGTGTCTGGAATCACAGGGAAGGTGACTTCAGTTGGCAACACTGTGAGTCTACGCTGCGAGGAGCTGCTGTGAATGCAGAGAGTGTGTTACCGGTTGGCGTAGTGCTCGATCCGAGTGTGTGTGTCGTCGTGAGAGAGCTGAGGGGACGATCCAGGCCTGCGACACAGAGAGAGAATGGAAAACTAAGGTTTGACACTTTTTCATGTAAACGTGTGTCTGTTAAAAGCCAATACATTAGTTTTCACCACGAAGTAAAGGTGGAGGAGTAGGAACAATGTCAGGATAATCCAATTTAACATGATATATGCCAGACTCTTCAAGCACTTAGGGAATATTTGTGTTGCACTTCTAAGTTTTCATTCTGAATGCAACTGGTGTTTCTTTCTGTGTACATGTGTGTGTTCTGCAGAGGAATGATGATGACGCACATGCATGTGGTATTTGTTGTTCAGGTTACTAAAATGAGCTAGATAACAAATGTAGCTATTACACACAGACTGTCGATCTGTTTAAAGTCAGAATCTGAGAAGAGACTCATCCTGAATCACAGATCTGCAGGGAGGTGGAGTTGTGTTTGTTTTGGATTGAAAGAATTCAATGTTATCAAGTATTGTTGTGAGTGTTTGAGCGTGCGCGCGTGTGTGTGTGTGTGTGTGTGTGTGTGTGTGTGTGTGTGTGTGTGTGTGTGTGTGTGTGTGTGTGTATGTGTGTGTGTGTGTGTAAGGTACTCACGCATGGTCTACAGGCCAGAAGTTGATCAGGGTAACAGGACTGAAAGACAAAAAAACACAGATGATGACACATCACAGCAAGGCATGATGGGAGCTGAATCATGAAGGGCAGTCATCATTGGTCATTATGAGCCAAAAGAACCCGTATGTGTATTTAGAGCCAAAACTAGAATGATGTGGATTTCCATAATCTTAAGTATTCATCCTCTTAAGATGCTTATCTCTTTATGGTGTTTCAGTGTAATGCTCCTTTTTTCTTAGCATGATCTGTGTGTGTGAGACCCACGTTTCCATGTTGTCCCCCTCCAGGATGGTCTGCACGGGCAGGTAGCCCATGCGGGGGTGTTTGGCGAAGTAGCGCTTGGTCCTGAACTTGTTCTTCAGCACCTTGGCAAAATCCCTGACATCCTCCCCTGACGTAGTCTGCAGAGAGACAGGGCACAAAGGGGGCATTGTTCATTCATGGAAGTGGGGCAAACACACACACACGCACCTTGTAGAACACGTCTCTATTATTTCAAGCCCTTTTGCTCTTATTCACACATCTAGCGAGTGAAGTTAGCTTTGGAGGCTAAAGTGAGTCCTTCATATGAAGACTCTGAAGTGCAGAGGTCTAGAATATGGTTTTCACTTCATAACCAGCGCATGGACATTATTCAAGAAGTCTGGCACCCTAACATTTCCATTATCCCAATTTTCCGACACACAATGCAGAGCAGGAATATAAATACATTCATACCGGAGTGCAGTACTCCACCATGGGGTACTGCATCTTATGTCCCTTGGCGACGCGACCGGAGAAGAAGCAGCTTTGGCAAATGTCATAGTTGAAATGCTTCAGACTCCGATATCTGGGGAAGGAAAGCAGAGGAGGTCAAGAAAGCCCAGACAAAAGGAGGAGGGTAGGAGAGATGTGGGAGTGAAAAGAAAAGAGAGCAAGGAGAAAAAGGGAGAAGGTGGAGAAGCAGGAGGAAATAAAATAAAGACAGAGGGAATAAAAGGGGGATTTATGGCTGTGTTTTCTCCAGGGTAGGAGTAGTTAAAGTTCTTTCAGCCAAGTAACTAAAGGACATATTTATTCCCTTCATTAAAATGTATCACTGTCAAGAATAGCACAGACACACCTCCTTTAAGGGCCCAACCTGAACAGGACGAAAAGCTTCCTGAGCATCAAAGGGCTGAGGCTACACATATGACAGCCAGTATAATCACACCATCAATCAGTTATACGTACTCATAGGCTGCTCTATTGCTCTGCTACTTCTCATGTTTATATAAATATTGTTCATTTATTTTGATTTGTAAAATAATATTTTGGAGCAAAATGGCTTCAACTCTGCAGATTACAATGTGTTCCTTAAGGCACATTTGCTGTGCATGAGGAGTGGTGATGCTTCATGGTTGTACGCACCTGAACCCGATGATGGGACACTCCTTGCAGATGTTACACTTGGCCTGGTGCTTGGCGGTCTCTGCAGCGGCCACGCGATGCAGGACGGGTAACCACACCATGGACTGAGGCTCCAGGCGCATCCAGTCCAGGAACATGGCCGCTTCCAGCTCCGGCTTGTTGTTGGCCTGGACAAGAAGAAGTCATGGTAAGCATAGTGTGTAAATCAATCAAAACATGACCTGATTGCATATTATTAATGGGTATTTAGTCTGTATCCGAGCTTCATATCTCCTTAGTCTCTGTAATCAAGTAGAATTTTTTGTCAAAAAACTGTTAAAAACCCATTTCTTTATCCCCTTTGAAAACACATTTGACTCAATTCTAGATACGACTTCCTGTGCCAGAAATATTAACAAGAGAACCAAATATTGATAAATACGCCGCTGAAAATAGTCCGAAGCAAATAAACCATTTCATGATGACTGTTAAAAACACTCTCTTGCTATAAATAAAAGAGTTGGACAGACGGGGGAAAAATACCCAGAGACAACATGTTGGCTTCATCCACCGCTCTCCCCTCAGCAGGGACTCTGGGAACTCCGGGGTTTTGGAGTTTCCATGGAATTGACCCCCCCCCCCATGTCCCTCTTTCTGTCTCACGCCCACATGCATGTTGCATGAGCAGCTGGGATGATGCTAAGCTAACTCCAGCAATTTTAGGGCTACATAAGATGAGATGGTCCACCTCATGTGTGTGTGTGTCTTAGTAGAAGATTTCCAGCAGCATCTCTGCAGCTGTTAGGGATCATCTGCAGGCTGTGGTTCTTGCAAAGACTAACTCTGGCCCTGTTTACTGGAGTCATGAACTTTTTTATCCCTTTTGTTTTATAATCCTTGGTTTTATCATTTTTTTGTCCTGTTCTCTAAATCTCTGAGCAACAATCCATTTGCCCTTTTTTAACGAGACAAGCATTGTGACATTTTGTGCACTCTGCTCATATGTTAGCTTCATCTAGAGGGCCTCGGGCATCAGTGCATTTGGCTTTTGCAGTCCTCTTATCATCATGCATGAGTGCCTTTATTATGACTAAGATAACTCAAAAACCAAAAGGTAAAAAAGAAGAGTTTGTGTGAGGGAGCGACGTACAAACTGGAAGCAGCTGCGGACGGAGGGCTCGATGTTGGAGCCGCCGAAGGAGGCGACCTCTCCGAGCTGCCGGGGGATCTGGATGGAGTCGTGGAGGAGGAGGCCCAGGCGCCGCTGGTCACAGAAACCTGTCGCACTGGCAACCTGCCTGAACAAGACTGGACAGAGGAGAGGTAGACAGTTACAAGATTACCACATACATTACTACATGCATCCCAAAGGTGGGTTGTACCTCAAATATTGTAATTGTTTGTCATCAAAGTGCGTAATGTGTGTGTGAGTGACTTACATCTGTATTTATCCTCCAGGTGAGCCTTGCAGAGTGAGATGATTCCAGTCTTGAACGACAGGGTTCGGATCTTTCCGGTGCGACCACTGACCAAACAAACAAAACAAACATGTGAGCACGAATTCCATCCAACTCCGACTACTACTACTACTACTACTACTACTACTACTACGTTGTGCTTGTACTTGACGTACGTGTCGTAGACGTTGAGCAGCCAGTTGAGGCACATGTCCACACACAGCGGGACGTTGACCAGGTGAGAGTGGCTCTGCTCCAGCCGCTGGTACAGGCTGGTCAGACAGGTGACCAGCTGCGCGATGTCCAGCAGCTGCTCGTTCTGCTTCAGAGCGTGCTGCTCGAACACCTCGCACGCCATCTGCATGCTCAGCAGATCCACTGCACACGGAAACAGAGGATTGTGGGTTAGCAGACACACGGCTGAGCTCACTGTCCTCCATCAAAAGCTGCTGACCTTAATGTGTCCACTACAAGGTTGGGAGGGGTACTTTAGAAATGTATTCAGTAACCTAATCTTAGTATCACTATATCAAGTAATGTAATCTGATTACTTTACATCACTTTGGGACGTACTCAATATCAAATGAAATGCAAATACAAACAAGACTATTTCCATAATACATTTTTTTTAAAGATATATTTATTTTGATATCCTCCTTTCCATAAATAGTGTTATGTGGCACGATCCAGCTCTCCGCCCTAAAACATATCACACATACTGTAACAGCTCGTAGGCGGCTCACACTCCTCAGTGAGAGACGAGAAGGGTGAGAACACACACACACACACACACACACACACACACACACACACACACACACACACACACACACGTAGACTATCAGAGCAGAGATGGCAAGAGAAGAGAGAAGAAGAAAAAGAGGAGGAGGTGGAAGACAGAATAGACAAAGGAGGAAATGAAGGGAGACGATGGANTGGGGTGATTAGATTATGGTACACTACGCATAAAACTCTACAACGAAGAAACCCCGAACTAACGTATCTACGCGACCGACAGACATAAAGAGAGTTTATAGTGTCAAAAATCTCGAGAACTTGGAGATCTCCACCCGCGTCCACTATCTCAACTTCTAGTCGACTGGACATCCACATCGTCATTTCGAGCCATACATCAGCAACAACCGGAATTAAAGAACCACTAGGTTACGACGTGTGAAACTGTGACTAGTTATCGAACGACACTTCTTTTCCTTCGATTCATCTCTAGGGACTACAACCTATCCTCATAAGGATAATAATGTTATCTCCTGTTCTAAATTTCCCTCTCTGCCTTGCACACATCTCACCGTAAAAAAAGACAACGAAAAAAGCATGTATATTATCCCCTATCTAGTGAGTATGGAGCCACTAGTGTCAGTTTCTTTATGTTGTAAGATGTCTTTTGTGACTCACACGTTTTGGTCCTGTGGAGCTAGACGTTACGCCGTTAGTCATTCCCCTCGGAAACAAATAAAGCTTATCATTACTCGTTAGCTTACTGCTACAATTAGACACTGCGCCCACTCTGTTGCCAGATTTGAGAGAAATAAGCANGCCTATTCCGTCATTCAATAAATCGTGTAATAAATCATACATTTTTCATTTTTTTCACTTTTCATTTTTAGGGGGGCCACAGGGGGGTCAGAGGTCAGTGTTAGGGGGGCACTGCCCCCCCCCCCCCCTAGAACCGCCCCTGTGTAAAATAAACATTCCGTACAACATTAACTTGGCAAAACACACTAGGATATTTACTTATACAGCTTTAACAAAAAAAAAAGATCCCAACATTGTTCAGGTGGAGGGTTTTATTTTGGAAACCTGAAACGGAAGTGGTCTCCGTTGCACTCGGGTGAATTGACCATCGTGTTTCGCTGGCCAGTCCGTCTCTGCAAACGCTGCCTTGCAGAGGAACACACACATACGTAGGCTACACACGTTAATCTCGGACGCCTCTCTCCGCTGGTAGAGAACGCTTGGTCGGACCGCGGAGGGGTCGGGATATTGCCTCGGTTCTGCCCGGGAAACGGTTCATTTCTGCTGGACGCTGAGCGCTGTGATCGGCCGGCGATGCGGGAGCAGCTTCGGAAGTGAGTGCTGGGCTGGGGGGCTGTTTATGGTGGTGATTAATAATGGTGATGGTAATTGTGCTGTTCGTAATGCAGTAAACCTGTTCTCACGGACCTCACACTGGTTGTGGGTGTTCATGGCCAGCAGAGGAGCAGAGCTATCCCCCACACTCAGCAGAAAACGCACATTATTTCACTGTAGTGCAGAATATGCGCAAAACAGCCTCAAATTCTGGACATATGTACATTGTACATTGACATTTTATATTGGACATGGGAAAAATATTTTCTTACTCCAAAATGCATTTCAAGTATTTTAAATAGCCTACATTTTGCCGATAATTCTGCAGCATGTCACAGTATTCAGAGGTTTAAAATACATGTTTGCATACAAGAGATGAAGCAAATCGTGCATCAAATATAAACGGAATGTTAACACCTCCATGTAAAGGGAGGAAAACTATTGTTTCTGGTAGCCATTAAACCCTACCAGCCCGTTTCTTCCCAGCGGCTGTTGATAGTGGTTGTTGCCGGGGAACCAGGCGAGGTGCACGGCCCGGTGAGGCTCCTCGCCCCGCTGTCCCCCTCCGGATCCTAAACTCTGAAGCCTCACTTTGCACCCTTTCAATGGCTCGTCGCTGCCATGTTGGAATAAAAACAAGGGCATTGAGTGCCTTAAAGAAAACAGAATGCAAACGGTGCCCCGAAAGGGATTTGTGATAATGTATGCGTTTGGCTTAGAGAAAAGAGCCGTGCGGAGCGGCATTGTGTCACTGTGTTGCATTCCTTCACAGCAACACACGGAGGTGCACACACAATCACCTCCGTGCCAGCAGAGCAGCCCGGGCTGGATAAGTGCGTTTTTGCACGGTTTGTGTGCGGATATTTGAATGTTGGTCTATTTTCGGATGAGAAATAACGCCAGGCCTTATTTTTCCAGCGCAAACAGCGGCGCTGAAGGTGCATGTGTGCAGTTCCTCCAGATCATCTGCTGATCAGTAGTCAGCTGTACAGACTGAGAGATGTGGTTGTCCTGCACTGATATGGCATGGACCTATCCATGTGTGTGTGGAGTGATGGTGAAATGGGAGCAGGGAATGTGAGCTGGCTGGTGCAGATTTTTGGCACCAATGTGATTGCAGGTGTGTATGTGTATGTGTGTGTGTGTGGGCACTGATTAAATACAGCTGATAGATATACAGCCATAACACATACAGATCCAACTCTAGTTGCTGGATGGTGGTACTGACTTGCTCAGGCATGATTGTTATTGTGTGTGTGTGTGTGTGTGTGTGTGTGTGTGTGTGTGTGTGTGTGTGTGTGTGTGTGTGTGTGTGTGTGTGTGTGTGTGTGTGTGTGTGTGTGTGTGTGCTGTCTTTGTATTCAGTCTGGATGATTATCAACCACAGGATCTAGCTCATTCTGATGTATGGTTTTTAGGACACGTTTCTGCACTCAGACATAAGAAACTTTTCCACATTTGAGCTGCAAGCCTTTCCCGTTCAGGTGTCTTAGTGTTTGAATTTCTAATCAATGACACTGGCTCTGATTGCAGAATCAACAAAACAACGTGATATTTCTGTATTAGCATATAAGAAAAAACAGAAATGTTTAAAGATTATAATATTTTCACTACTACGCAGGGGCTGGTATTCAAAATGATATCATTGGATTAAATATGGTTGCATTCAATTGTGGTCTGATCTGACAACGATTTCCGATCCTAAAGATTTGGATTCAGTTTTGGTAATCCCTGCAATTGGGCATTTACATACATTCATCCCATACTTCATGTATGAGTCAGTAATAATATCAGTTATTATACATCTGTACTTATTCAAAGTACTTGTCTCTGTATTTTAAAATCATGAAAAATCACTGCTTGTGTCTACAAAGTCAAACTAATTAAGCGTTTAGTCTTGCTGGGTAGATAATCTGCAGACAGCCTCCACACAAGCATCGGATCTGATAAGTAGTGACAATGAAGCCGATGATAGATTGGGCCTGTTTTAAAAGGGTTTATAACATCGCCAATGAGCTGTTTCACGAGAGAACAGTTGTTCCAAGTGTTATCTACAATCACTCGTATTTACCAGTGGTTTTAAAGCCAAAAGCTTCAAAAGATGTTTCTCCCTCCTTTCATGCAATTGCACATTGATTAATCCAGAAAGCAGAGGCTGTGAAAACAAAACATTTGAAAAAAGTAAAAATCGTGAGGAATTACATATCACTTTGTTCCAGTTCAATCATTTATTTGTAGATCCTTGACTGTAGTTTTAAAGGTTTACAGTGGACAGGCCCTTCATTTCTGTGCTTGCAGACAAATGCTAAAAATGAAGCTGGCCAATGTTCCAAAGCTAGTGTTATTTTCACCTCAGTGCGACACCACTTTGAGTGATTTTGACAGTAAAAATGACCCGCTAAAGCTGGAACCTTCTCAAAAAGTCCATGAAACTTGACAATTCTTTTTTTTTTTTATAGATACTTGAAAACCTTTATTTTTAATTTGGATCACCTCCCACACTGGGGACTCCATTAATGGCCATCACTGTCAGACAGTCTATTAGTGGTGGAGAGTTTCTACAGTCCATTGGTTAGTCTTGCCTATCGTCTACTCATTATTGAATCGTGTGTGTGTGTGTGTGTGTGTGTGTGTTGCTGTACGTATTACTTAAACAGAGCAGCGAAGATCAATAGACAGACAGACGGCCATCTTTTCATTGTCTCCGTTGTAGCAAATCTTTTTTTAATTACCGTGTTATTAACAGACTAATATTTATACCAAAGTAGGCTTGATATATCAGGATTTATTTGGGAAAATCAAGCAATGCCATGTAAAATCAGACATAAGCACACTCAAAGGAATTTTACCTTTATTTATTTCCATTTACTTGTGTTTTTTTTGCTAAGTTATTTATTTAAACCAGCTATTTTTCTTTACTTCTTTTCTATCCCGTTAAATGGTGGGCGGGGGGTTGTGAATGTTGAATGCTGTTCCTTATGCTTGTCAGCTTCAATCAGGTCGCCCTCGAGCAAGGCAGTAGATTCACGACTGCTCCGCCAGCCTCGCCCAGTGTGCAGTAGTTTATCTTCTGACAGGTTACCATTATCAACATGTTGGCTTGTCCTGGGGCCATGATACAATCTCTAGGCACACAGTGTCTGCTTTTAAAAAGCATAAAGAAAGAGACAAAGCATTAAGCCCTAAATGGGTTGTGTGGCAGGTCAGGGAATTGAAGGTTCCATCTCAAAGCAATGATCTCTTTAGGGGGAAAATGAATGGGATCACTTCAGTTTTATATGAAAATAGAAGGGCTCCTTATAGTTGTTGGATACTGAGCATCTGCAGGTTCCCCATCTTTCTCAAGGATTCCTGTTTTGTCTCAGCTGATTCAGTGCACTAAACTCCATCAGTTGTCAGTTAGCATCCCATATCCAGCAGCCACTGCGTATTTGACTCAGCGCGGCTAATAGGAGCATTTGTCCGAGTGGCCCTTGCTGAGTGACTGAGCTACTGTTAGTACAGGCTCGGAGCTTTGAGGATTTTTAAGTAGCTCTTCACCATGGGACCCCTCTCCTCATTATCTGGAGTGTGAGTATGGGAGAGAGGAGAACAAGGGCGATGCGGGGGGAAAAGCAGCATATGGATTATTGTTTGGCTGCTTTTCACACAAAGGTTAACTGCAGGTACGCTTGTGTGCCATCGACTCGACATGTGTGCTTTTAGCATCAGGGGAGGGGTCCGTTTGTGTGACAACGCGCCTCAGGACTGAATTATAAAGCAGAAAACAGTGGAGCTCAGCAGCACTGCATTTTTAAAAAGTGGTGTTATTTTTTAGCAGTTTGTTTGGTTCACTTTGGATCGCCCTCTTAGCACACCTATTGTTCACGTGTATGTAAGCTTCAGGTCGAATGTCACTAAGTACCATTACTGTAGTACTCAAATACTATTTCTGACATTGAGTATTTACAGTTTATGCAAATATCTCACTTTTTACTCCACTAGATTTATTTAACACTCCTGTTACTGGCTACTTTTTATATACAAAAACACATGATACACGTATATGCTTGTATGATATGATGCAGTACTGTACTACTAATAAACCCATTATTTGACTCCTTGACTGACACCAACACTAGTTCTTTAAACATCATCATATTCTGTTACAGTACACGGAAAAGAAGCCTGCCGTTCTGAAGGCATGAATCACACACATATTCCCTTTTGACTGTTTTAACTGACACACACACACACACACACACACACACACACACTCACAGGCAAGTCTCCTGTGAGTGGCGAGCAGCAGTCACGAGGAGAGGATGTGTGAGGGGAGAATGACACAGCAGCCATGTATCCCTCCGTGTCCTCTTTCTTCCTCTCTTCCTCTATCACGGTAGCTTGTCATTTTCTAGAATATAGAAGAGAGAAACTAGGATTAATGTCATAGTGCGGGATTTAAAGGAAGCTAATTCATCAGTGCGTATGATCATTTCTGTTACAGGCTTTTCCTTGTTTTAGGAAGGCAGGCGCAGGTGCAGTCGCTGGACACTAGTATGATGTTCTTATGCTGTTTAAATAATAACCTTCAGATTTGACGTACTTTCTAGAGGGTTTTATAATATGTCTATTTTACACAACCAGTGTTCTATAAGTCCTGTGAATATGGAAAATGTACAATGCTTGAAATACATGATGTGATGGCAGCGTTAGACAGTCATGGCTGTGGTCCAGGCTCAGAAATCTCAACGATTGACTATATTGACATTAGACGGACATTCATGGTCCCTGCAGATGTCAGTGCCAATTATTGGATGGATTGCATTTGGTCCAGGCAATCATGTTCCCATCAGGATGAGATGTAAGGACTTTGACGATCCATAACACTTCCTCTAGGGTCATCATCCAATCAAATATGTAATCATTCAACAATTAAAGGTATAACAACATTCTGGTACCTGCAAAACTCAGCAGTGTTGATTAGCAAATGTAGCGCTATGTTTCATGACCAATAAGGGGAGCTTTAGGGTGATGATGTGTTTGATCTACTCGACATCTGACCATTCCGTCTTTTTGAATCCCTCTCCAGCCACCAGACCCAAACAACATGCTGGGATCATCCCAAGATGGCCGAGCTCTACCAGTCTCTGGGTGAGATGCCAATTCATACACAGACAGAAACAATGGAGCCGTTACCACCGATGTCTCCTTGCTCTTCATCCCTAACTCTGTTTCTTCTCGTCCTTTAGCCGACCTGAACAATGTTCGATTCTCGGCCTACCGGACAGCCATGAAGCTCAGGCGCCTGCAGAAGGCTCTCTGCTGTAAGTACTCTCTATGTATAGTTTTCTATACTTCTCCTGAATGTGCATCACACATAGTTCAAGTATGCTCTCTGTGTCCATGATTGTTTCTCTTATTGTGTTCCAGCCCTCCTACACTCCTCCTTTGTTCTTCCTTTCCACGTCTGTTCTCTTGAATTCACCTCATTTGCAACGGCGTTCTTCTTCTCCATCGTCTCCCTTCATTTCCTCCTTTGTCTATTCTGTCTTCCACCTCCTCCTCTTTTTCTTCTTCTCTCTTCTCTTGCCATCTCTGCTCTGATAGTCTACGTGTGTGTGTGTGTGTGTGTGTGTGTGTGTGTGTGTGTGTGTGTGTGTGTGTGTGTGTGTGTGTGTGTGTGTGTGTGTGTGCGAGAGAGAGGTACTGTAGGAAATAGAAATGTCTACTCTTGTGCATTGAAGAAAAGTTTTGCAGAGGAGAGCAAAGAGATAAATACTCTTTTCTTTTTATATAGATGACATTATAATAAAGTACAAAGCGTATACCTCTTCGATGTAATAATCGTAGAAATGTTGTTATTGGACACTTACCATTTTGGCCGGCTGGTAGACTTGACGACGGGAGACATGCCATCTCTGTACAGGCTCTTGGTCTTGGAGAAGTTGACCACGTTGAAAATGACTCTCTGAAAAACAATGAAGACAAATGAAAATCAACAAAAATAAAACCCAGTGGAGATTGTATCACTATCGGCACAATGGATCACTGTTGTTATGGGTGTGTCTGCATTTTCTCAGCACTTTTAGTTGTTATATGCAGACGGATAAAAGGAGGCTATGAGCTGGCAAACGTATATAAAGTATTAAAACGAAATGTCCTTTGGTAATGTTTTTTAAACAAAGAAAAAGCATGAGTCAGTCAGGCCTCACAGATATGCATTAGCGTGCAACTTTGTTCAATTGCAAGAAACCACAGGGAACCTTTTATATTTGGACAAACTAATTAGAAACAAGCAAAATGTGAGCATCTGAAAAGCTAAAATGGCAAAACAGCATGTTCCAAAAAGCCATTAATTGTCTTTGAATCTTTATAATTATATTATTCGACATGAGAGTGGCTGTCAAATGTAAACCCTGAAAGTCCGGAGAAAGCTCACAACTCTATATCTTGCCAAGCGTATTCGTCTAATATCGAGTCAGAATATGTCTTTTCACTTGATATAACAGGGTATATGCAGGAATCCTGAAGTCAAATGTAAAACCTTTTAAGACCCTTTCCATACATTTTAAGACCTCATCTCCACTTGGAGTTTTAACCGGTTACCTTGGCGACACACTTTACCTCACATTGAATATATACAGTATTGATTGTCCTTCCTCCTTATCTTCCAACCATTTGGACGCAGACTTGCATTTCCCCATAACCATGTTGTTTAACAACCGGCGTAAACGGACCTCCGGCGTAAACGGACCTCCGCGCGCTATCAAGCAGTGAGCGTCCGATGTCCTGTTCAGATGACGTCAAATCCAACGGGATGCCATAAATAAAGTACACAGAATCACACTACACACCTACGCAATGATTACATTCAGGCAGACTGTAGAACACAACCTCTTTGGACCATTTATATACTTATTGAAAACAAGCTACAAAATGTAATACCTCGGAAAATGCCCTTTAATACTTTTTAAGACCCCGCGGACCCCCTGTATAAGATCTAATAACTTAAGAAGTAACAATGCAGTGAGAAACAGGGTCTTGTTTTAGACGATGCATCTTAAGTATTTTGTTAAGTTAAAGACTCTCAAACATCTCATTTGAAGTTGTATCTCACGATGTATTGGGAGATCACTAACTAACGTCAGAAAACAGAACACTTTTGAGCATGTGTGGCCTATTTTGTATCAACATTTCCTAATCCTGGTCAAATATAGTTCAAAATAAGTTTTTCCAGATAATTACAAGATCTGATTGATCTAAATATCCCATCTTATTTCAAGAAATCGTAGCAAGCTAACCCTACCCTGAGGGAGCTAGTGGATCGCCGGAGCTGTTAGTAGAGATGTCCCGATCCGATCACGTGACCGGGGATCGGAGCCGATCACGTGATTTTTAAAAGATCGGAATCGGGAGAAAAAATCGGGGATTGGCATTTTTTATTATTATTATTTATTTTTTTAAATACTTTTTTTCAATTTTGTATTCAATGTTACAAACAAAATGGCCATGTTCAAGTCTTAAAGTCATCCTGAGGCCTTAGTTTTGGTTTCAATGACAGAACATCATGTATGTGTTGCTTCTTTGGGGCTTGTTTTCATAGACCTGCTTATTTCTCTCAANTAATGGTTCCGACTAGAATGACGAATAACGTTAGTTCCGCCTATTCCGTCAAAAGGCAAACAAATGAAAAATGTATGATTTATTACACGATTTATTGAATGACGGAATAGGCGGAACTAACGTTATTCGTCATTCTAGTCGGAACCATTAGAGCGGTGCACTCACTTTCACTGTCCGGCTGAAGCGCGCGAAAAACAAACACTTTTCATCTGGGATCATCAGAGGCTGTTGCATCCAAGAAAGACTGATTGAAACCTAAGTTTCGAGAGACTACCACGATAATTGAAGCTGAGTTAACTATTGTATCCGTGTAGTTGTAGATGTAAAGTAGAGATGTAACTGTTCATTGCCTTTATTTTTATATAAATATGATATGGTGTTAGTGCAAAAATTGTACTATAACTTAAGCTGAAGCTAACAGTAATAACTATAAGATATATCTGAAATAAATAAGTGTACTGAAACAAATACCAATAACTGTATTGCATTGTTTTCTTATGCGCAATTACTTCATACCGTCTAGTTCTCTTTTTCGTCCTGCATTTATTGTGCCCCCCTCAGAAAATAACTGGCCCCCCAGTGGCCCCCCCAGTCAAATTGGTCTAGAACCGCCAGTGATTTTACAGCATATGTTCCTTTTCCTATTGTTAGATCATATGGACTGCCATCGATGCAACAACACAATCCCTCATACAGCAGGTAATACTAATAACTATAATTATGTATAACTCTAAGGTTATTTTGGGTCAAGTTTAAAGCCAGAAATATATTTGAAAGGATGAGATAGAGGGGGTGAAAGGGAACCAGTACATGGGGTGCATTAACGCTTAATGTGACAGTTAAATAACTTCCAAATGTATTTATGGATACGTACTACTATTTTTGCAATGATGTGATAAGCTTCTTTTACATAAGAGGACATTCCCTGATTTTACATCAGGGTCCCCAAGGTTTTTTTTCAGCCATAGCCATGTTGACGGTTAAACAATTTGACATATGTTGTAATTTTTTTTTTAAATACCCAACATAGTTCATGCCTTTTATTTTGAAATTCAACACCGCTCACTTCCGGTCTAGCCCTATCTGCATCTTGGAAACTTCATGCAATTTAGCTAGACGAGGCGGATGTCAGGCTCCCTGCCTCTGCCTCCCTTCCCCCCATCCCGCTGTTTCTGAGAGCAAAGGAGCCTCTACACACCATCCGAGGAGGTTTTTCACCTCCCTGACGAGAGGGAGGGAGGGAGAGAGGCGCTTTGCTTTTCAAGGCACACATATTTTCACGTTCAAGGCTGAGACAGAGATAGAAAGAAAGAGGGGCAGAAGAAAGAAAGAGGAAAAGTGGGAGAGACAAAAGGGATTTTTTCTTATACAAGGTACACAGGAGAGAAGAGACAGGAAGAGAGAGAGGGTGGGAGGGGGGTTTCTTTGCTTTGGGAATCTGTGTTCAAGGCTTCAGAAATGTAGGCTATGTTGCACCAGCAAAGAGAGGGAACAGCCTGTAATTTATAGGACAAGTCTCAACTGTTATGTTATCCCATCACAACAGTGTGTGTGTGTACCTGAGTGTGTGTAGGTGTGTGAGGGACGGATTCAACACAACTTTCATGATTGCTGATTTTAGGCTCTCGGACGTCATTTTGCAGCTGACTGTGTTTGTGTAGGAGGTTGTGGATTTAGACTCACTCGTGGGGGAGGATGCTCGCAGTGAGGCAAATCAAACACAAACTCACAGGATGGATAGGCAAGGTGGATGTAACAGCTTTGAGCTTGAAACCATCTCCAGAAGCAGATAATTAAATGTGCACAAGAAGCAGTTGGTGTGCCATATGTTTCCCGCTGTGTGGGTTTATAGTGTGTGAAGTCTGCAATGCGTGCATGGAGACTATGTGGCCAAATGTATGCAGACACGCCTGTAAACATTGCACACTCTTGGGCTTGCTTTCATGGCTTGAAACCCTTCAAAAAGAGAAGCAACAGAAGTAGAAGTAACCTGACTTTTATCCCGTGCATCTGTCAAACCTATTTCACATTTCCCATGATGCAACTCAATGACGTCTTTCATTAGATCCACCCAGCCCATACTTTTGGCCATGAAATGTGCATTATGTGTGTGATATAAATCCATATTGTATTATATAGTGTGTGTGTGTGTGTGTGTGTGTGTGTGTGTGTGTGTGTGTGTGTGTGTGTGTGTGTGTGTGTGTGTGTGTGTGTGTGTGTGTGTGTGTGTGTGTGTGTGGTCAGCTGGCACTCACTGGGTCTCCGTCATCAGGTCAGGTCCAGCTTTCTCACTGCATGAAGAGGAGAATCTGTCACTTCTCTTTCCCTCCCTCCTTCCTCCTCCTCCTCTTTCTCTTTGGTGAGTGTGTTTCTCTCACTTGCAGTTAAATCAGCGTCAAACATTAAAGTGTTAACTCAAACACACCAAACTGCTAGTTAGTGATTACCAAATCCATGCAATCTACTGTATGATGTCTCCACTGAAGAACGAGTAAGAAGTGGGATATATCAATCACAATGTGGGGCTCTTCTGACCAATGGGGAAGGAATGTGAGGTGGAGAGTTCATTCTGTGTCAATGAAAGGATAAAGGCCTAATCACCTCAAAAATGGTTGTGTAATTGCAAAAATAAATTGAGCTAGAAGCTTTGGGACGAAGCTACTCCTCACAAATGTTCAATGAACCATAGGGAGATAGAGACAGTAGTGAAAAACGGTGTTGAGACGGCACATTTTCCAGCTCAGTTAATTAAGGGGTTTATTTGGATTTGTTAGTTTATTTTAGTGCTGTCGAGTTTGAATGTGAGTATTTTACGATGTTCTTCTGTTCAAACACACTAGCTGAAACTATGCACCATGCAAATATAACACAAGCCAACATTAGCTATTCTAAGCTACATGCCATACCTTGTGTGCGTCTTATTGTTTATACTTTTATTTGTAAGAAGAGAAAGGTCTTCCATTTTTTTTAAAGTGCAGAATCCAAAGTTCCTAACCTAACCGCTACCAAAAACATCTAATTGTGCAGGAACTGCATGTTGTGCTAAGATTTATTTGTTATTATCACATCAACATGTTTAACTCAGTGAGTTGCTGTAACAACACGCCTGTTTGTGCACCCTGCGGCGCTGAGGCACAAGCTGCAAGACAGAGCTCACTACTGTGCAACACCCCCCCCCCCTCCAGGACGTATGCTATCTGCTGATGGGTGCTGAAAAGTCCTGAACAGTCTCTGAACGGTCTCCCAGCATCCACAGAAGCCCAACTGCTCTACAAGCTGGTTTGGGACATAATGAAGGAGATAATGTATATTTTGAGTCAACATTCTATAATTATAAATAAACATTCTAGAATTGTCATTGTATGAATATCATGAGACCTTGGAAGCGCTATCAAGTCAAAACCAATCTTATTCCTTCAGGTGGCAAATAATAAGCCAATACTACATAACTACCACATGTTGATGTTCTGACCCAGGGTCGATTCGCTGTGGTTACCTAATGCTATCTGGGGCTACATGTATAAATGGATTACTGAAGGAATATATGTGCTAAATGTGAAAGGACAAACTGTTAGATGAATTATTCAAAGCAACAAAGAGAGAAAGGCTAAATAGATGCATGTTAGACAAAAGGCAAGCCAACAGTTAGGGCAAAACAACAAACTGTAGTTAGCAGACAAGCAACACTGCATCAATCCAGCTCAAAGGATTCAAAGTCAATATTTTGGCAGCATCTCACTTCCTTAAAAACAGACAATACACTTTGACTTTTAGAAATATACCAGATCATTATTTTAAAGTGTTTTCTGTTGTCTCACTTTGAGAATGCACACACTGACACAGACATGGCGAATGTCAGTCACAATTATCAAACCCTTCATTTTCATCCACATTATTCGGGAACTCAAACAAAGGCCGTACATGGTTTATTAAAAAGGACTTATCCATTTGCAGAACATTTCATTGAAATCAAATCCTCCAGTATTTTTCTGAAATATTTAGGAATTAAATAATTGTACCTTAAAAGAGAGACATACATTTGTAGGCTCAGTAGAGTTCAGTAGAGTACACTGGATTATACTTGTCAAAGAACAATATTACATTCTCTTCAGGGATGAATGTATTAAGGCCACAATGGATTGACACAAACATGAGAGTGGGTTATTCACCCAAATGTAAAAATTGAAAGGAATAAGGTAGAAAAATACTTTATTTGCATTGTTGTATAAATATGATTACAACCTTTCCCCTACTAAGATTGATTTTGTCAAAGAATATTTAAAAAAAGTTGGTTGTAATATTGTATGCTTTGTATAAATGTTTATTCATATTTATCTTGTCAATGTCAGCCAAATATTTCATTTGTTCTGGCTATATTTATAAACCTGCCTTGCCTTGATACCAACATATTTTTACAATTATTTCTAATACTTTTGCCAAGTTGGATACTTCTTTTTGTGCCAATGCACAGAACAGCGCTTTAAGTTTATTAAAAGGTTAGTACACTCAGGGGAGAAATCCGTGCTCATTTCATGACATTTAACCAGACCAATAATCAGTGTTGAGCACATGTCAAAATCATCGGGACTAGTACTGAATAATTAGGTCAGAATGTGTATGTGTACTAATGGTACTGTTCCATTAACAACAGCTCAGAGGTCCGTACTTACTTGATGTAGTAGGGCACGTTGTTCGGGGAGATGCCCTGCTCGAAGGGGCTCTCCACAGATCCTGCCAAAACAGAGAAAGAAGGTACAAAAAAAAAAAATTATGTAATTTAAATGTAATAAAGAATAGGGCCCCTTTGATTTTTCACACACACATTTTACAGCAGCATGCCCACCCAGGAAGTGTGTATGCAGCAGCTACGAAAAAATCATGAATAATTTTCTTCAAAGTAATCTACATGATAATGAAAAACATGAGAAATATTGCTAATTATCCAAGTTATTATGCCTCCAACAGTTGGCACAGCAACCACTAAAGCAGACCGAGCTTTCTGGGAATCAACAGCACAGTTGGAACGCCTGTCTGACCAATCAGATCGCTTGGCTGAAACTACCCGCTGTATTATTGGGCCTCACGGGTAACATTTGCTGCAGTTAAAAACAGAACGATGCATCGTGGGACAAGTGCCAGAACACATGCAGTGTAGATCATAGCAGTAAGATATGAACAACGTGTCAATTAACAGTGTTCATTTTTTTTTTTTTAAGCCCCCCAGTCTTAATCTGCCCTGTTATTTTTAATATAGCACAATTATAAAGTTAATAGGAACATTAATGCACGATGAAATGTGACTATGGGAATATTAGACATTTAAATAGAAGGGATATTACGATATTATATCATGTGGGGGCTGTTCTCCAATCTGTTCCACCATCTGACCTGATTGTGTCATTTCTATTTACCCACTTCATTTATATCTCAAGTGTTGATTTCACTTTTTGCTTCTACTTGTTTTCTGCCCCCCTGTGGTGCTTTTAATCCATTTTTAATCAAGTGCAAGAGAAACAGCTATCGCTTGCGGCTGCTTTCGAATTTGTTTCATTTTTTGGGGGGATTCTTGTCAATTGAATCTGCTGCTGTTGGAAAAAAATGATATCTCTGCTCCTTTGATAATAGATTTCAAGACAAAAAAGAGAGTAAGAATCGAAGACTGTAAATGTGCTTTATATCTTTGACCGGCCAGCAAACTGTACTTACATTGGAAATATGCCAAATGATATCTATCAAGTTAAATAATTCATAAGTATTCATATTTGACAGCACATTTATCAACCCACATATGTATATATTATTACAAAAAGCACTATTTGACTCCGCCGTACGGTATTTCATTTCTGTTATACTTCAGATTTCCAATGCCAAAACTGCACTGTACAGTAGCTCCTGTGCATGAAAATAAAACCTTTGAATCATAACTATAAGTAATCATTTGTATGTGTTTTTTAAACATTTTAGTTTGACAAAGATTTGAACCTTCACCCTGCTAAGCAAATGGTCAAAATGTGATATTGTTGCTACACCCTCAAGCTTTCCGCCAGAATGACATAGTTATATAATGACATCATTAACAAAGACCCAAAGGAGAACAGCATAGTGAGAAACTAGTTGTTCTTATGGAATGATCCTCCACTCGAGTATGTGTGTGAGACCATCCCAACATGTGTCAGGCAGTTTCATGTTTGTTTTTTTAAGAATAATGTTTTTATACCCAAAATTAAAGTAAATCAATCCACTAATTAGCAACCAGACGAGGCTTTAAAAACTCTTTCCCTCTTCACTTATTCAGTTACTTAGTGACCTTTTGACAGTTGAGTGCTGTCTCTCTCTCTCAAACTAATAAACACATCACTTATTGAGTGCCAGTAAGTGATTCATTTAGTCTAACACATTTTGTCTCGTCCCTTTCTTACACCCACTTTCAACTGGTGTGTGAGTGTGTGTTACTCACCGTGCAGAAGGCCAAAGTCCCTGTGAGCGTCTGTCAGCTGCTTCAGATGTTCACTGATGGACATCTGATGGTGAAATATGAAAATAAATGCAAAGATAAATTAAAAGATCAGGATTCTCATGCGCTAATGACTAATTTGACAGCATGAAATGAGAATACTTTCAAATCAAAGGGTGAGAAATCCATATTTCCGAGGAAAAGGAGAAATATAATCCGAGGAATCACATGGAAACTTCCAGCCCATATGCTTCCTCAAAGCGATGAATACATTCATAAAGCCATGGTAGGAATACACTTTGTGTCACATGAATACACATGATATACTCCAAGAAGCACAAGGATGAGCAGAGAAATGGAAAGGAGGCGAGGAGACACAAAGACAAGCATGGTGGAGATAATATCATGTGTAGTGAAGGAATCAGAGAGAGGATCACTTGCGAGCCTCCTTCAAATCTAGATGGATTTTAAATAATTGTTCTAAATCAGTAGCATCTGTAGGAGGCAGCACATGAATCTACTGCCCCACAGACCTGCAAAACGTAGCTTCTGTCAGCCATAGGCTAGTGGTCAATACTCAAATGGATTTGAACTCAGCCTACATTCAGTATGATGTTCAATGATCTATGCGTTTCCAGGCAACACGTGCAGCTCGGGCCGGCATGCAGAGCTCTGGCAGACTCTGATTAGAGACACATTCATTCAAAAATGAATACAGTGTTCTTGGAATCATTGGAAACAGTAGGGTCTCAACTTCCAACCAAAGAAGTAAACATTTTTTTATTTTCATCCGCAACCAAAAGAAGATGGATGACACATTGTCAGGGGTGTGTGGTGTGTGTGTGTGTGTGTGTGTGTGTGTGTGTGTGTGTGTGTGTGTGTGTGTGTGTGTGTGTGTGTGTGTGTGTGATTCATGGTATGCGATGAGAACAGACGAAGCTATGACGGTAATAACCAGTTCTTTTTTTGGGTTGGGTTTTGATGACAAGGAACCAATGGATAAAATTACCTTGGAGTCCACCTCACCCAATCCATTTCTGCCTGAGTTCCTTTTCCCCGTATCCACGGTAACCTAATTAGATTCGTACAAATGAGAGGAGTGGGATTGTTGAGGAAGAATTTGTCCGAATGACTCAGATTGCAAGATGTCCCCGCGCCAACCAATCAGCTTCGACCTTTTGAGGCACGACAAAACTCTGTGAATGAACTAAGTGACCTGCATTTGCAGGTAACACACACACACACACACACACACACACACACACACACACACACACACACACACACACACACACACACACACACACACACACACGTAAGTTGAGCGCTGTCCAGTGTTTACCGCAGTGAAAGTGAAAAGTATAAATGGAGTGTTTCTGCTTTCAGAAGCCCCAACAATAACACAAGGACAGAGGAGAGGACACGAAGAGAAGCATCCCTCTCTTTCTGTCTCTTCCTCTCTCTATCAGTGTTTCTATGGCGACAAGGGGAGAGGGTGGGACAGGTGGAGGCGTTGCCATGGGGACAGACAGGGCGTGTGTGTGTGCATGCATGGGAATGAGTGTGTGTGAGTGGGAGAGTTACCCTGCTCGACCAGGGTCTGCGCCGTGCGCGTGGCTTCCTGAAGCTTCCGGAACTTCTCCGGCCGCTCTCGCTCAATCGCCTGTGGTAAAGAGAGAGAGGAAGTTAAAGGACAGGAGACAGACACGGAGAGGCAGCAAGATAAAAAGTACCAGGTACCAGGAGAATTATTATTGAATACACAGAAGAAGAAAATCAATGTCCAATTCAACAGGCTATTTCTTCCAAAGAGTGAGAGCTCCTGCAGCATCGACCTCTGACCTCATTCTGCTCTGACATTTAGGACAACCTCAGCATTTCATTGGCCAACAACGGATATATGTAGGTTTTTACTGCATTTTAGTGGCAAAATAACAATATTGCAAACAAAACTTAAAGGGATAGTTAAGAAAAAGATTTTATGTTCAGATTTAGATGAGAAGAACAATAACACTCTATTGCCTGTGTGCTAAAGATGAAGGTAGTGGCGTGTATTCACCAGCACTTTGTCGTACAGCTCCTGGATGCTGCCGTCTTTGCGTGACACGGAGCACTCGGGGCTCTGCAGGATGGCCTCTCCTCGGGTCATGTAGCTGTGCAACTCTGTGAAGTCCACGTCAAACCTGAGGACACATGGAGCACTTGGCATTATTACTTCCAGTGATGTTATTGTTTAGCCCAATATGTAACTATGGCTGAAGTTTTCTCCTTAAAAATGTCGGTGACAATTTTCTTCCAATTAGTTTTTTTCTTGGTCATTTAGTAAATATGTCTTTAACGCGTATTTACATCAAGAAGAACAAATATTGAATAAATGAGCGAGTACAGTAGTTTCAGTTTGTGTTTTGTGCCCTTTAAATTCCAAACAAGTTAATGAAACCAACAAACAACAACAAATGTAAATGTATAAAGCCCCAACCATCTACCAGATTAATAGTTGACATAATTTAGAAGTGAAGACTACAAATACAAATAAATAAATAAATATATACAGGTGCATCTCAATAAATTAGAATATCTTGGAAAAGTGAATTTATTTCATTAATTCAATTTAAAAAGTGAAACTCATGTATTATTTCGATGTTCTTAACCCTTGTCGCTACACAGATCGAGTCTCTGCTGGTGTATGATCGTCAATATCTTTTAGATCTTCGACATAATGTCAGGTTTTTGGATGCGTTTGAGCATGGTGGGCAGAAAACTGTGCCCCCGCTACTGGCGGGGATCCCGACTCACCTGTGCCGGGCCTTGGCCCTGCCTCCTCGGCGGAAGCGTCTCCGTCGTCGCGGCAAACGCGGAGGTCGGCTGGTGAAGCTTAAAACCTGGCTGGCTGTGTGTGGGTGGGAGCTGTCGGCGGCGTGGCGTCTTTGTCGGCTGATAATGTGTAAAGCCCCCTTCGGGATATCTACATTTTGTTGTCCTACCCCAATACTTGTCATAGTGTTACTTCATATAAATTATTTTTCTCTCTCACTGGCTAATTCAGCTATTCAATTCTTGTCCATATTTTTACTATTAGTGACCGAGAAATTTAGCGTAGTACCATCTTGTCGTCGGGTTCAGGGTAATCCCTAAACTAGTCTTTGGACTCGAACAGGGGAAGAATGGGTAAGACGCTGAAGTCTTGAAACGCCGGTGATTGTACAGATTCGACGTGCGCTCTACAATGCGTAGTTCTGTCCAGAGTTCAAATCGTGAAACCCGACCAGTTCAAATATATACTCTCTTGTGTGTCTCAGGTCATATTCCATATGCTTTGTCCTTCCTTCACTTTTTGTTTCTAGTACTTCGGGAGGCAATAATACGTCTTATTAGGATTCGTCTCTCCCTGTAGTGTTTCGTACCTAATGTTTCGTCTGTCTTTCTGGTCGTTTCTATCCTGTCCCAATTTTTAGGCTGTCGAGCTCGTCCTCGCGTTTCTAACTTGACGTCGCCGCCCTCTTCGTCGACTTGTAGTGCCGCTTACTAGTCTTTCTGTAATTTATTGTCTTTATAAGGTCAACCTTATGTGTTTTTTGGTCTGTTTTTTCTCTGTTCCTAGAATTTATCACACCTATGTGTCATATGCACACACTGCCTGCCTGGTGTGTTGAGTTTTTTTATTTCTCGTGGTCTTCATATTTCTTCAGGTATTCCTTATTTCTTCATGGATTTAGTGGGTTCTGTTTTTTTTTTTCTGTTTTTGTTTGTTTTTTTTTTTGTTTCTTATCTTAGTCTTGGTGCTTTGTGTGTACTTACATATTTGGGGCGTGTTCCTCCTTGTTTTGTTTGTATATTGTTTTGTCTTCTATTATAGTCTGTGCGTCTTATTCTTTCTTGTTTTTTAGTGATTATATTCTTAGAATAACATATATATCTTCCCTCTCCTATCTTTTTATCTTGTTTCTTTGCTGTCGTGAGCCTAGCCTCGCTAGGTGAGTTATTACGACCGAGCTTTGAAGGCCTTCTCCTCCGTGTCTGCGCGCGCGGCACGAATTAAATTTCAGTAAAAATATCTGGTGCAGCCGGCAAGGAGGAGGTGCCGTTTTTGGTCTTTGCTATGTGCGCCTCCTCTATATTTTTTTCTTTTCGGCTTCTTGCTCTATTTTAGCTGTCTGTTCTCTCTGTATCTGTTATTGTTTTTCGTTTTGGTTTTTTTTTCTCTAGGTCCAGAGACAGTGCGTCTCTTTGTTGTCGGCCGCTCTCATTTACTTTCTTAGGTAAGTCCTATTTGTTTTTTCTTTAGTATATCAAGGCTGTCACTTAGGACCGCATATGGGTCCTGGCTTTTTGGGTGACTCGTCTCCTGCGGCTCTCTTCCTGATCGCTAAGTCTTTGCTCCTTAGACGCTCTTGTTGCTTGCACCGTCGCAGAGTTTCTCTAGTCATCCTTTAAATGGTTGTCGCGACTTTTCGGCTTCCTCCTCGGCCCCGGGCGCCCTTCGACCTTAGATTTTCGGGTGTTGCTAGGCTACTGTCTCATTTTTCTCTGTCTCTGTAGCTATCTCCCAGGTTTCCTTGGATTCTCCGATTCTAAGTTAGTTCGAGACAGGCCGCTTTACCT